CTTTGAAGAAACAAAATCTCCTGAGATAGTAGGCCTAATATTCAAGTCTTGGGGACTGCATAGTAGAAAGGCTTGCTCAGTCTTGTCTTCACCCTGGCAGAGGATAGATGTTTTGGTACTTGAGGGTTGACAGCTGAATGCCAGTTCTACACAGCATCGGGAAGCCTGGGGACAGTCAGTCACCTTCCTCCCCCAGTCTGGAACTCTTCACACCAAGATGAGTCAGCTCCGGGTTGTTCTTCCACAAGCTTCACGGACGGAAAGGCAGAGATGCTTTGGCAGGAGTGTTGTTTTCCAGCCTTGCCACATGGTGTCACCCACAGCCCGTCTGCTGTTCGGCACACGACTCCTCTGCTCGAACCCGGCAGTGGCCTATCTCCAGGAGGGGCTGCAAACTGCCATCGGGGGGCTGGCTGGGTGGCTTTTATTTCCAGAGTTCTCTCTGTGGTTTCCCTTCCAACTTAATTTCTCTCACCCTTGGTTTTTCTTCTGCTGCATTGTCTCCCATTACAGTTGTCTGCTACCAGTCAGACAGGGATGAGCTTCGTCGCCGCGTCATCCAGTGGCTGGAAGCTGAGATTATCCCAGATGGGTGGTTCTCCAAGGGCAGTAACTACAGCGAAGTCCTGGACAAGTATTTCAAGGCAAGTAGAACAGCACCTGCCTCAGAGCCTAAAGAACATTTCTTGCCTTGTCACTGCAAAACAGCTGCTGTGCCACCCCCACTCCAGTGTGTGATGTGCCTGTCGAACTGGGGCCAGATATGTCCTACAGAGTGATGTGTTATGTTTCTGCAGCTGCAGCCTGCAGCAGCCTGCAGCTGCTGACTGTCTGACTGACACACCTACGTGACATCCCATGTTCCTGGTGTCTGACCTGCCCTGGAGAAAAGGAGGAGATCAGGCCGGGTGTGCCTGTGGCAGGGTAGAGAACTAACCTCTGGGGACAAAACATAGCCAGAGGAAAAAATGTGAGCAAAAGTGCTGGAAGTGCAGGGGCTGCTGATCCTTTGTTCCAGACAGTCCCAAGGACATGTTGAGATGGATATAGAGGACTCTTGGGGGCTTCAAGGAGTATGTCCCAGTTGTGGCTGAGAGCTGGCAGTTCTCTAGTGCTCTGCAGAGCGAGAAGAGCCACCCAAGTATTGGGGCCTGCAATAATCCTGTTGTTCTTTGGTCCTCCCTGTCATTCTGTCCCTCAGCCCATCCCCACCCCCTTCTACAACCAGCAGATCACAAGCTTCTCCCATGATCCTGCCACATACACGGCTGTGTCCCTCCCCCTCATGCTTGGCTCCTGATAAAGACTTCAAAGCATTCAGGATGGAGCCGGAGGAGCAGGTGGGGAAAAGGGGAGTGCATTTAAATCATAAGCTGTTGACAGCAAGAGATTAATGGTGCCTGACAGGAGTTAGCACTGCAAGCAAATTTGCCATGGCAATGGCACCCCCTGGTGAGACAGAGGAACTGCTGGTCCCCTTGCTCCAGAGAGCATCTTCACATTTGCAGCCATGACTGCTGTTCTGTCTGTGCAAACCCGTTTGTGGCCCACTGCCTCAGGCACTCTTGCCAGCACCCAAAAGCTGAAACATCCTGTGGAGCACAGCTACTCAGTCTTTCGCCCTGCAAAAGTGCCATCCCTGGCCACTTTTCAGAGTCTCCCCAGGTCATGGGCTTTGCTGAAATTCATGAGCCAGCCCCAGACTTGCTCCACTGTCACCACACAACCCAGTCACACCCACTGTCCCCACACCTGTCAGCGTGCTGGTGAAATCCTATGGCTGCAGCTCAGAGGCAGACAGCCTCATGTTCTCTTTACTGTCCCACTTTTTCTGCAGCACTGATCCCAGGCACTTAGTGGGTGAAAGTTTCCATGACAAAGCAATACCTTTTCTTGGACTAAAGGGGGACTCTGCTTGGCTGAGGCCAATGGTATGAGGTTCTGTAAGGTGAAGTGCTGGTCCTGCACTTCGGTCACAACAACCCCATGCAGCGCTACAGACTGGGGGAAAAGTGGCTGGAAAGTGTCCTAGCAGATAAGGACCTGGGGGTGCTAGTCAGCAGCCAGCTGTGAACATGAGCCGGCAGTGTGCTCAGGTGACCAAGAAGGCCATCCTGACTTGTATCAGCAATAGTGTGGCCAGCAGGACTCAGGCAGTGATCGTCCCTCTGTACTCAGCACTGGTGAGACCACACCTTGAGTTCTGGGTCCAGTTCTGGGCCCCTCACTACAAGAAAGACACTGAGGTGCTGAAGTGTGTCTGGAGAAGGGCAGTGAAGCTGGTGAAGGATCTAGAGAGTAAGTCCTGTGAGGAGCGGCTAAGGGAGCTGGGGGTGTTTAGCTTGGAGAAAAGGAGGCTCAGGGGAGACGTTGCTGCTCTCTACAACAGAAAGGAGGTTGTAGCCAGACTGGGGTCGGCCTCTTCTCCCTGGCAACTAGCAACAGGACAAAAGGAAACGGCCTCAAGTTGTGGCAGAGGAGGTTCAGGTTGGACATCAGGAAGAATTTCTTCAGTGAAAGGGTGGTTAAGCATTGGAGTTGGCAGCCCAGGGAAGCGGTGGAGTCAACCATCCCTGAAAGTGTTCAAGAAATGACTGGACGTGGCCACTTAGTGCCATGGTCTAGTTGACAAGGTGGTACTCGGTCCAGGGTTGGACTTGATGATCTTGGAGGTCTTTTCCAACCTTAATGTTCTATGATTCTCTGTCAGGTGGTAATCCACCTTATCAACAATCCTTAGAGCTTTGAAATATTTTTAAAGCAGAATTCAGAGTTTGGAACAACTTGGGACAATCCAGGCAAAGCAAACTAAATGGCTTCAAACACATTCGAGTTTGTGTCACCAATGAGTGTCTGTTGTCACTGGAGGAATTTTGTTGTGCCAAGCTGCAGAGCTCTGCATGCCTGCCCTGCAAATTGCCTGATTCCTGTCCTGCATGTAATAAACACTGGAGATATAGATGACATGAAGCTTTTCTCCTTGATGGGGAGGTTTGTAGGTGTGCATTAAGCTATTTCCCTCCTATAAGGCTGATTTGTGGGGATCACTGGTATGTGTGTTCATCAGGCAGGCCATGACCTTGAAGGACATTATTTCAAGAGGATCGAGGCCAGTAGTGGGAAACTGCTCTGTTTTGGAGGGTCTCTTGGGGAACACCTAAATGCAGACCATAGCATTGAAATGCAAGAAAACTCACTTAATTGAGTCTGGGTCATTAAGAGAACTACAGCCACTTTCCCAAGAAATAGCAGGACAAGAGGCTTCAAAGTCTAGTAGAAGCTGACACATTAGCAGAGCAGTTAGGCAGGCTACAGTGTGCAGAGCAATTTCCTAACCCTACAGGTTTCTCCTGAAACACACAGAGGTAACAACAGGCAGTTGTCTCTTCCAGCATTCCTGGAAGCACTGCACAAGGAGCCCCAGCAGCCTGACCCAAGTCACACAGCAAAAATTAGGTGGCAGCAGTCTGTGCAGGATTAATTTTCCCCTCACAGCAATGCAGCTGTCTCTGAGGGGGCACAGCAGTTCCTGCTGAGGTGTCACCTCTCCAAACAGGAAGGCAAAATGCAATTACTTCTTTGGGAATACAGCCAGGATTTGGGGGCTAAAATTCCTGCTCTTCAGTGCCAGGAGTCCTGTCAGGACCTTAAGAAGTTGGTGGCGAGGTGTTGTGCTATTGCATTAAATTGTTTCTTCTCTGGTAACAGCAAAAAAAATTACTTCCTGTGTTTTTTCCTTTTTGTCACTGTCAAGAGTCCAGGCACATCTTTGGATTCACACGTATTGGAAAGCTGACACCCTCCTGAATGCAACTGGTCTGCGTTAAGGCAGGAGGTATATAAGAAGGCTAAGAGCTGTCTGGAACAAAGAGAAGAAATGGGGTTAGAGCCATAAATCAAGCAGCGGGAGATGAATGCAAGGCAGTGTAGCTGATCTGTGAGAACAAGGCTAGGATCATATCTCCCCCGTTCTGATGCTAATATGGATATGTTGCTGCTTTTCTCCGAGCCTTTCTTTGTGCAAAACAGGGATGATGCAGCTAGAGCTTCAAAATGCTGACTACTGCAAAAGAGAGAAGGAAGGGGTACCTTGAACTGATATATCAGGCCCTCTCACACCTTCCCATCTCCCCCTACAGAGCTTTGATGATGGTGATTCTCGCTTGGACTCCACTGAATTTCTGAAGTTTGTGGAGCAGAATGAGACTGCCATCAACATCACCACCTACATGGACCAAGAGACCAACAAGTTGCTCAGGTGAGCAGTAAGCAGGGTGTCAGAAGATGGGCCAGAGGGAAGATATGATAGAATGGGGCATGAAAATTCATTCATGGAAAGTATCAGTTAGGGCTTGCACTAACAAAGATAGCTGTGTAGGAAGTGGCTTCTCACTTAATTAGGTGTGAACATCACAAGAAGAGGAGTCCCACTCCTGCCCCTTGCTTAGGCATGTATTTCAACCCTCTTTTGCCTTAAATCTAACACACATGCAGGCAGAAGGTGAGTTGGTTGACAGAAAATTTGTCTTTCTTTTATTTCCTAATAAATTAGCTTTCCAGTGGACTTCACTCACATTTTGCCTAATTCATAGATCCAGAACAAGGAAGATGGTGGGAAAACACCTCTCGTAGGCAGCCCTGTAGTTTGAGGGGTTTCCCTTTTTCTTTATGTGTGCCACTGTGCGAGAAAATGAGGAGAAAAGGCTGCTTGTGGTTATGCTGTGGTTGCATTTCTACTCACGTGACAGCATGTAGATGTCAACAGGGTCCTATTC